GGGGGGTAGGGCGGGGCCAAAATGGCCGACCAATGTTTTACATAGAAATATATAGGAAAATTCTTTAAAAATCTTCTTCTCAAGAATGACAAAGCCATAATTCATCATATATATATGGAAGCATGTTCAGGTAGTGTAGATTCAATTTTGTTCAAATCATGACCCCCGGGGGTAGGGCGGGGCCAAAATGGCCGACCAAGGTTTTACATAGAAATATATAGGAAAATTCTTTAAAAATCTTCTTCTCAATCATTTTCTAAAATATAGCAAATCCATGATTGGTCATGGGAGTACTTTTGGATTTAAACTTTACAATAAAAAGCCATTTTATACTAGTCCTACCCTTGGTGCTCAGGTGAGCGATGTGGCCCATGGGCCTCTTGTTTTCTAAACTTGAATTAGATTTGAACAGAAATGAGAAGAAAAGTGGGGGGTTCACAGTATATTCCATAGATTAAAGATACTAATTAAAATTGATTTACTTTAATATTTAATTATATTATTATTTACAGGTAAACTTCGTTATCTCGACATCAACGGGACAATCGGAAAAAGTCGAGATATCCGAGGTGTCGAGATATCAGAGTTAAGATTCGACGTCCTTAATTTCTCTGTATAGTAAAACCATAGACCTAAACTGAACAGACGTGTAACCTACATGTCCTCAATAGACTGTAGCTCGTTAATGTTTCAGCTATCCCTCTTCATTTATAAGAAAATCTAAGAAGTTATTCGCAAATGAAATTTATGAAATGCTCTTTTTTTATCGGAATCTTCTCATTTTACTAAAAACATTTTTCCATCCAGCATTCGATCCGCATTCAACTAGCTCTGTCAAAACAGGATACGAAATGCGCTCTATAAACTCCAAACCGGAACGGTACAAAGTCGACGTTGGTAATACGGAAAAAGAATTACTGTGTATAATTTTATTTATTATCTCATTTCACTTCATTTTTATTTCATAATCATTCATCATTAATTTTCATTTCATTTTCAAACCAAAATTTAATTGGAATTGCACATTAAACAAACTTATTTATGTTACGCATGCATTTATATTATGGCTGATGCAATAGTCGTGCAGGTCGTAGATTTGATTGTTTCCTGTTGAATGCATTTTTTCCACAATTTTTAAGCTAAACTGAATTCAACGTGTATATTGTTCATTGTTATTCAGTTACTTTTTTAAAGAAATGTTAAAGTTTTGTTAGATTTTGACATAAACAAAATGTTTTACATTTACGCAGAATCGAAAAATTTATCAGTGACATTACCCAAGTGAACATTTAAACAATTAACGTCTCAGAGACACCGAGGGGGCTTGGGGTTCCTCTACAAACACATTTCTACAGAGCAGTATGTAGTCAAAACATGGGTGTGAAAGGTGTGAATTTCTGACGAAGTCGAGAAACACAGAGCCGTTCGTGCCTGACGAGCGACCGGCTTACAAACAATTAGGTTAAGTAGAGCAGAAAATTGCCCCGATGTCGACATATACCAGGTAAATTTTGCTCTTGGGACTGTGAATATACGTCGAGATAAGCGGGGTAGTCGACATTACCGAGGTCGACATATCAGAGTTTATGCAAATCATTTATATAGTAAATGCCGGGACCGCGGACGGACGTCGACATATCTGAGGTTGTCGACATATCCGATGTCGAGATACCGAAGTTTACCTGTACCTATATTTCAATTAACTGAGCTGGAACCTCAGGAGGCTTAAGTGAACTTTAATTTCCGATCATATTTTTTTCTGTTCTGTAGCTCTCATTGTTATAATGTCGTCAGTTTTGTCTTTGACTTTTTTGGCAATTCCATTTTCTTTTTCAGAAGGGCAGTTTTAACCAAACTTGGCACAGGGTATCCATGGGTGAAAGAATTCAAGTTTGCTCACTGCTAAAGGGAGATAATAACAAAAATTAAATAAAAATGTCTTGGTCATTAAAAAATCTTCTCAAAGAAAAACCACTTGGCCAGAAAATATGAAAGTTCTGTTGTTTTTTTTTTTAAATCTTCCTGTCTAGGAATGTTCTAAAACATTGTACTAAGTAACATACGAAATATTAAAAGAATCATCAAATATTTTCTTACATTCAAATTATTGGAATTATAATCATTGGAATAATAAAAATAAATGATTTTCATTTTTACAAAAAAGAAATCATTGAGTACAACGTCCACAAATTTTTAAAACTCTTTATAGAATTGGCCACTTGTAGCATTCAGAACTTAAGGCCTAACTCATTGTACTTTTTTGTCAAAATATTGTGAGTTACATTTTAATAATTATGTCCCAATCGAAATCCTAGGAATAAAGATATTATCTAGCAATAAATGTTGAAATTACATTGAGCTGACAACTTATTTACTGCAGTGAATGTAATTAATGCACCTGTATTCAAATTCAACATTGATTTAATTTCAAGTTGCAGTTTGATGTTACTTTGTTTTATTGTCACAATTATCTTATCATCTTTGGAAGATTTACATCAATATTTTAATGAGCAGAAGAAATTGAATGCCTAATTTTTGGAAGGAATGTTGGTTTATGTTACATTATACAGCGTTTCATTTAAAACATATTTGCATGTTCTTTTCCCGTTGCTAAAAATGACTGTATAAGCATACTGATTTATGTTTCATAAAAATAATACAGTACTACATTAAAAATCGGTCTACCTATAGGATAAAGTAGAAAATAATTTTTAATGATATGTTTATACCAAGTCATTTATTTATTGCTCTTTTTAACTCAAAATGCATGCAGAAAAAAAAGCCTGAGGCATAATTCAAACGAAATAGATCTGCAGAGATATTTACGTAAGCCGCATAATTAATGGCTTTAGGTATTATGACGATTAACTTATTAAACAATTGTGTCCTGTGGATACTAGATTAAAGGGACTTCTAGAGATATTGTTGTGGCAGTGTCTTGTTTTCACACTTACTGGCAAAAATACATAAACTTTTGTGCAAAAGTTTACACTTGCACATATTTGTGCTCATCTTAATATAATAGCTGTTATTCTCTGATTTTATGGTATATACTTCACAGGAATTTATTTTTTTCCCTGTTAAGAGCAGGTAAGGGATACATTAATTAATGCAATATTTGGTAAACAAATTACTAGATGGTCATGGATAATGATTTTAATTTATGTTTTGGAAAGAAGAAGTAAAAGTTGAGTTGCTTTAAAGACTGCATGCAAGCTGACACCAAGCTTTAGGATTGCATTTCTTATTTGTTGATAACCATTTTATTTGCATAATTATAAAGAATACCCCTGGTATTCTTTACCTGTTCATGGTTGCAGGTTTTAAAAAGGGCCATAAAATTGTATAAAATATCTTTTTCCATGGTAGCTGATTGTTTTGTGATAAAAAAAGTCTTGCAATATTATGAAGTATAAATCAGTTTACTGCTGATTTGTTTACTATATATAAATAAATATATGGAAATCAGTAGGGATGGGCAAAAATATTGATATATTGCAGTATATTGCAAGAGAACGAGAAGACATCGTATTGCAATACGTTTTTGTGATATCGATATAACGGCAAAATGCTTAGACTAAGCAATATTGTCATTAAATATGAAAATAAATGCAAGAAAGGCTTGTTACATGTATTAAGCCAAACAGTACGACAGAAGCTGTTTTATGGATGTATTTCAGAGCGTAACTTAAATCAACAAGATTTTTTTCCTTTTGGTTACTTTTCATAGTTATGTACATTCTGATAGTAAATTAAAGTTCATATCATAAGAAAATGCCATTGCAGTTTCCATTGAAAATATTGCAATACATTTTGCAATACAGTTAAAAATATTGCAATATATCGCAATACGAAATCTCTGGCCAATACTCAGCCCTAGAAATCAGCAATAGGAATTAGTGATTTATATTTCTTGGAATATTTAATGGCAGTGAAATAGAAGTACTCTTTGAGCAATGATTTCATCACAGGACTCATCAATTATACTTCCTCTATTTCTGCAGAACTATATGACATTGTACAGAAGCTCTCCGAAAAAAAAAATCATGTTGACAGACCATATAGTGCAACCCATTGAAAAAAGTATATATTTATTGCGCACAAACAAGTGTGCTGTTTCTCAATTTATTTCTCCATGGTTTTGAATCTGCCAACTCAAAATGTTACTAACATTGTGTTCCTAAGATAATTTTTCACTGTTTCCAAAACAAAAAATTCCTTCTAATTTAACTGTTGTTAATTGCCCTCCTGGTCCTGAAATTGAGTCCATCAAAAATTTCACCTATTTATACTGCAATTTTGGTTTGCAAGATAATTTGGTCCAAAGTGCTTTGTGCAGATGTCATTTACAAGAGTGCTTGATAAAAGAGTAAAAAAGAAAATTAGAATTTATCTATGTTGCAATTGAGGTAAGAATTTGGAGAAATTAATGCAGAACCAGGTGCAAATTTTAGTGTGCAATTTTTTGCTGTGGGTGGGCACTGTAGCTCTGGTCATCCATCCCAATTTTTTTTCTTCAAAAAATTGAGCTAAGATCTGCAGCTATTGATTTTAATGTGTGGATGGAAAATATTTTCAGTGATTATATTTAATTTTTTATATAAACATGATAAAAAATATTGCATAAACAATAGACATTTTACCATTTCAATGAGATCACATTAACCCAGATGTAGTACGGATTATACATCATGGTACATCGTTAGCATTGCATGCTTGTATAAATAATGTTAAATTAACAGCTGCTTCCTCTGAGGTGAATTTTCACCTGGCACGAACAGCCCCCACCAAGAGATAATGACACATTATTGATATGTTTTTTTTTAGTTAATGGCTTTAATGTGACTGTCAAGTTTGGGGGTTTTATTTCTTTTTTCAGTTTTTAAATAAAAACAGTCTAGCTGTTATAACATTATGTAAACTGTGGATTTTAAGAGAGAGGGAGAGATAGAAAAAATTAATTGGCATGTTCTTATGATGTTTTTTTCCCCCTTTTACAGTGTCTTGAGTCCAAAAAGACGTCCCATGGGCGTAACACCTTAACGTTATTTGAGGAGTATATTAAGAAGAAGGATTCTTCGGTGAATGCAGTCATGAAGGCATTAGAGGGTATGGAGAGAAAAGATGCCTTGGAGGTTCTCCAGAACTCCATACCAGGTAATGATGTATAAAGCTCTATATGGTGTTATTTACAGAAAATAATACAGTCCAACCTTGATTTTCTTGAACTTAATGGAACCAAAAATAAGAATAAGCTGAGAGATATGTGAATTTCAGAAATACAGAGGATAATGCATGAAAAAGAGGTTACAGGTTAGGACTTCCAATTGATCTGTGTTGAAGATAACAAAGTTCAACTCCATGTACATTCTTGTGTAGGCCTAAAACATTAACAAAGTGCAATTTTTTTTATTTCAGTTAAAATGTCAAAATGACCTTATATGCAGACACAGCTCAAACTGAGTGTTTTTGTTTCTTTACAACTACATTGTTGCAAATCTTTTCTGTGTATTTCAGAAATTCAGAGACGGTTTGAAGCCGACTTGAAGAGCATGCCTATGAAACAGGAGCCTCAAGAACACAATGAATGTACACCGTGTTTCCATTCTTATCCTAACGGTTCCTTATCCTCCACCCACCACTCCAGTTATCCAAGGTTTGGGGTACCACCTTGTTCTCACATGCCCCATCACATGAACATTGTAGGGTCTTCTCATTCTAATGCTTACAGCAACCTCGAGCCAGATATGCCAAAAAAAATCAACACCTCAACTGTGTATAACTCTACAAAGCATGTGACGCAGGGGATTCTCCGAATGGGAACAAATTATCAGCACTCAGGGACCCATACAGCAATGTCCACAAACATTCGAGGAGGCAGCATGGCCGTGCAAGTGGACAGGAGAGACAATTACACCAATGACGAGATCGAGATGGCTGAGCTGCCGAGTCATGGCACCAGATACCGTGAGGAACCACAACCGCTTCCTGCGGGGATTTACAGAGGCCAGTACATGAATTCTCTCAGTCGAGCCTCCAACATGGTCAACTCTCAGGACATGGCGGTAGCCAGTGAAGAAGTGGTGGGTACCAGCCCCAGCTATATTGATACAGTCAAACAGCATGGGTCTTTAAAGAGACAAAACTCAGTTGAGTCCAATGCAAGGCAGCCAGTGGGTGAGGTTCATGGTAAGAAACCAGATTCAAACAAAAAGCTAGCACTGAACATCCCCACCTCGTACAACAGAAACCACATGCAGGCAATGAAGCTACAGAATAACTTTATCAGCCCGAGTCCCAATCAGACTCCAACTTCATCCTTACAGAATCCTCTAGACAAACTCCGACAAATCACCGGGTCTAACTCATACATGCCAGATGAGAAATACCAAAGCATGATCGAAGAGAAGAACCGTGAGGAGATGTTATATAATAGGTGTGGAGAGGAGAATTTTAGAAAAGGCACAACTTCATCTTGTCAGTACGAGGCAGATCCCAACAGCAGGGGGGCAATGATGCAGGCGGGGGATTCAGGGTGGTTCAACTTCAAACAAGGTCAGCGGGGGAACTCTCAGATGGCCAACCACATGAAGCTTACGAAGGACCTGGGTCCTCGCACGTTTCCCCTAAGGTCCAAGTCACTGACGGCTTGTGCGGGGGATGAGGCAGATTCCCAGGAAAGATCTAACCTCTCCAAGTCACAGTCCATGCCCCACGACATGAAACCAGCAGAATACAGAAAAGGTTAGTACTCAAGCTTTACTCTGTATCATTGTATCACTTAGGCATATTAGAGTGCATATGTACTATGCATTTGGTTTATGGTGCAAGACGTGCCAAAAATAGTTATTACAGATATTTAATTCTAATTTTATTCTTTGAGCATCATTATGAAAATGATGTACTTGCAGAAACAGGATCTTATGTTGAAATTTAGCTTCAGATTTTATAGATAAGAGGTGATTTGGAGAAGGAGGTTGTCAGGCATTGATGCTTTGTGTTATAGCTTGGTTGTTTTTTCTGAGGTTGCTGGAAAGGCCTAGCTGAGTTGGTAGATAAGAAAAGCTATGTTTTTATTATCAATGTTAGAAATTACTCCTCTGTTTAGTAGTGGCATAAAAGTGTTTTATATACTGTATAACACTTTGTATTCATGAGAACTTTATTTTTGTGTAATTATGCAAGACTGTTTGCTCATAAATATTTTATTCTACGGGACCCATATTTTAATCTTAAACTGACTAAGTCCAAACAAAACCCCCAATAATTCAAAGAAATTTTGCCTTGCTTCTTAAATCATATGGTTTTCTTGCTATGTGAAAGCAGGTCTGAAAGAAATTTGAGATTTTTATCACATCGTCTTTTAAAACAGCTGATGAGATACAGTCTCCTTGATATGTTTTCACCTTAATTGCTGGGATTTACCATGACGTGCTATCTGACAATTTTGTAGCAGTAAATTTATAACTGTGAATAATGATAAATAAAGTCATTAATTTATTATTACCATTCTCTTGTTGAAATATGCTAGTTCTGTGAACATATAATTATGCAATATGTCATGAAGAACTTTTTTTTTTACCTTTTATTATGTATAGAGACCCACGCAAAGATTTAATAATCCTCTGTGGTACTAATTCTAATTAGAAGTAGGTGCTCTCAAATCATAAAAAATAAAATCACATTGCTATATCTGTCAACAATACTTAGTCATTCATACTATTTAGCTTCCAATTGCTTTCAAAGAAACTTTCAAAATAGAATTCAAAATGTACATATAACTGGTATATAATAAAATATTGCATACCAGGTAAATATATCATATCAAAGTTGTGAAGTGTCAGGTCAAGGTCAAACCTGTCAAGAGTCGCACAAGAATTTAACAAAAGTATTACTTCATTTTAATTTGGCATGGTGCTGAATGCATATAATACAATATCTTTACTTCAGTTGAATATTTTTAAAATGTAACTGGTCATAAAATTTTAAATCATGACCCCTGCAGGTAGGGTGAGTTCAAACAGATGGGATCAGTTATACAAAAGAATATAAAGGATATTATCAGGGGTACCAATAAAAATGTTCTTCTCAAGAACAGCATGACTATTATTTAAATGATATTAATTCAGAGGCATCCTCGGGTAATGTAGATTCAGGTGTGAAGGCATGTCCCTGGGAGTAGAACAAGGCCTGAATTAAAAGTTTGATATGTGAGTCCCCTTAAAATTCTAAAACATTATTGATTATTGATTGGTTATTTTGATATTTAAAAAAAATTCAGCTTCAAAAAGATTATTTAATATAAAGTTTCTTATACACTGTCACATCAGGTTAAACACTGCTACATTGATCAAATTTATTGTCCTATTGTCAAAGGAAATAACTAATTTTTCCATATTTTCAACATGTTCAAGTTGAAAAAGTATATTGTAAAATTTCTCATTTGAATTCATGTATGCTAATTGGTAGACAAGTTTACAAGACACAAAATATATTTATTGTTAAAGTGCATACTTTAAAATTAATGTATTAAGAGAACAAAAGAGCATAGAATAATTTATTATCATACGATTATTTTGTTGATTGATTGAATGACAAGATAAAAGAATACCTTCTGAAAACAAAAAAGAAAAACAAAGAAGAACCTCAGGTTCCCTGTTTCATAAGTTTTTGAAATAATTTGATCTGAGAAACTAAAGGCAATTTTTTTTTTGGCTTGAAGAAGGAGTTTCTTCAGCTAAGGGAAAGAACTTTGACATTCTTAATAACATGTACTATTGATAAGATTTCTTGTTTCGTCAATGAGGCTTATCAAAATTTATAAGAGTGCGTACATTTACTAAATTGTATAATCATTCTACACTGTGTATATTGTATTTTCCAGCATTTCGTCATATTAAAGTATTTGTCACATATTCAACGGACTCCAAACGACACATACAGAAAGTTTTGAACCTTTGCCGCTGTATAGAAAAGAATGGCTTTACTTGTTGTATGGACATGTACAATCGCCGGATGCCAACAGAGGATAAACTGGGCTGGGTCAAGGAGAGGTTTGATGAGGTAATATACATGTAATATTACATATATGTTAGGGTTCAACTTTTAATATAGTAATTATCATGTGGAATTCCTTTATACTTTGAAGCTTATGTTCAGTTCTTTACTTGAATAGACACTAAGAGTCAGAGAAGTGACATTATCTATTACTCTTTATGCGATATTGCAATTTGAGTAATTAAAAGCTGTATGATGCATATGTGCTTATTTTACAGGCTGACTTTATTCTGATCTGTGTTTCTGAGAACTACATTGAGGAGACAGAGAGGTGCCAGGGTGATGTAATCGAGTCCACCTCAGACAAACAGCTCCACACAGACTACATTTACCAGCTGATGGTGCTCGAATACAATCAAATCGGCCGTAACAAACGATTCATCCCCGTCATGTTAGATGGCACTTCTGAAGAACATATCCCCTCCTGGCTACAAAATACACTCTTCTACAAGTGGCCCACCCACTTTAGGGATCTTTTGTGGTTCCTGACTAAACCAGAAACACGTATAAAGACAAAAACTGTGACAGAAGAGAGAAGGTCATCCGAGGAGGAAGAAATGATGCCAGATTCACCCCCCGCTGCAGCGGCCACTTAATGGAGTGGTGGATCTATGTATTGCTGGAATGTTGACACTAAAAGTGAGGGTACACAGTCATTGAACGAGTAAATGAACTGGAAAGGGATGTTTTCAATCAGTGGTGTTTATGTATTTCTGCATGTTTGTTCAGATATCAAGCAATGGAGGTTGAGGACTCATTGTCTTGGTGCCAATTTGTTTTCTCTGTGTTTTTTTTTTTTTTTCATGAAATCTGTAAACACATGACTTGTTGACAGGTGTACTTTAGTCTACTAGGAGCTAAGCTCTGAATGGACATAGACTTAGCAGCTATATTCTGATCACAAGAGGGACCTGCAGGCCAGCTATGATTGGACACAAGGAATCAGTTTTTGAACAGTTTTTGAGCTCTGGTTGGAGAAAGGACCCCACAGCCCAGTTTTGATTGCATGCTTGATATGTGCACATATTGTCGCTAAGGACTCCTTAGCCAAGTTCTGATTGGATGTTTGGTTTGTTTCCTATTATGTGTGCATATTATGACTATGTTTGTTTCTGTCAAAAATTAATGTAATCCAAGTTTTGTTACTGTTGTTGATTTTTTTTTATTATTTATGAATGATCTCATGTTAATCTGACATACTTGTGAGTGTTATGTGTTGGAGAATATTCAAGGATCTGAGGGGAAATTATCATGTTATCCTTAGCCTTTATAAAGTTGATTATAAAATGTTTAGCAAAGAGTCAGCTTGGGAAAAAAAGATTGCCATTTTTATATAAGATAGTGTTAGCATGGTGTGAATTGGAAGGATTTTTCTGTAGGTGCCATATATAAGGAGGATAAATTCTTTTGAAAGTTTTTATTAATAATAATGTTTTATAAATGTTCTTTTTAAATATATTTAATAATGTTAATATTAAATTTTAACATCATGGATGTTTTTAAAGTGTTTATATTTAATGAAATCTAATTTCAAAGATTCCCCTAAATACCAAAAAATTGTTTAGAAAAGGTGCATATGATAAGATTTTAATTTTATTTATATAAATGTACATGATGTATATAGGAAGTCCATTTACTTGCTTGTTTTATACTAGTGTATGAATTGTGATAAGTTAATGAGAAAACTACAAATATATTCATGAAAAGGTAATGGAAAATTAAGATACAATGTATTTTCACATATAATGATGATGGGTAGAATTGAAAGCTTGTGTTATCAACAGTTTTCATGTTATCTCATCAATTGTTTCTTTATTTTATTATTTCAATTGTCTGAATGCTTTCCTTATTGTGTTTATATGAGATTTTTGGGGTATTGAAATGCTACTTGGGACATACAACTTTTAATATTTATGCTATGAATGAAAATTTTTGGAAGGTACATGAAATAAAACATTCCATTTTCACATATATATTTATTGATGCCCACAGTATACTATTTTATTGCCGGGACTGAAAAGTTGATCTTGAAGAAAAAAATCCTCATGATAAACCTTCACCATATGCTGCAATTTGATGTATTTTCTTTGATTATTAAGCTGTTGGTTTTTACTTAAAAATGTAGAACATGAGAGAAAGATTTTAAACAATTTTCACCCTTGATTGATTCCATGTTTGTTGAATTCCATATTTTTTTTTTTACAATAGCATTATTTTTAGCATCACTTTACATATTTAGTAATTTTTAAAAATATTTGCATTCCAAACATGATTTGTCATGATTAATTTCAAAGATATATTGCATTCTTTTCTATGAGTAAAGAAAGATAAAAATAAAATTGTGGCATTTCAGTTAAATAAATGGGCATTCCATTCTCCATGTTTTGATGCATTCCAAAGTCTTGGGCCTTTTTTTGATTTTTAATATGGACATTTGTCATTTTCATATGATTGTCTTTTTCATATAAATGCATGTTTCAGTGTTTCTGCTCGTATCCAGGTTTTTGATATTATACATTTTCATACTAAGCAATTTTCCCTGAAATTTCAACACTCCTTTTACAGAAGGATTTTGCAATGTCCTGTGAAGATTGGGCAAGTGCAATATTGTTAGTTTTATAAACTGTAGTTCTATGAATCTAAGAATTAAAACTTTTAAAATTTATTAAACTGTTGAAGAAGTTACATCATCTCATTGTCTTCTAAGGCAAATGTTATTAGATAGAAGTTTGAAAAACTTATTTTTATGGTAGAAATGTTGTTGCTTTGATACAGTTTTGAATTTTACTATTAATTTTGTAACAGTTAGTATGGTTATTGTTGTATGACTGTTTTGTAAAAAATCAAATATCTGTACATTTATCTATATTTCTTCCTGTTGGTCAGTGATATTTTGTATTTTGTGTAAATTTAGTCATATAGAAATATTCATGATCTTTTTTTTTTTTTGATTTTTGGAAAAATGATTGAAATGTAAAGATTTGATGCCATGCCTTCTGTGAAAGTATTGTAATTCAAATTTTTCAAGATATGCCTTTAAGCCTTTGTCCTACTAAAGATACGATGAAGGGGGGGGGGGGTATAGGGTCAATATTATTTACTGATATAAGATTTTACCTTCAGCAAACAAGCTTCTCATGCATTAAGTTCTCTATATATAAATAAAGTGTTTATTAAAATATCATGAATTAAGAAGTAAGAGAAAAGGCTAAGAGTTGAGATGGGTAGCAAATCAATTGTGATTATGATAAAAGAAATGAAATACAGTAAAACTTGTCTAATTCGGACCCTATTTGTTCCAAAGAAATTGGCCAGATTACCGGTAGACAATATACCAGAGAAATCAACATATAAAGCAATTGAAATTGCTAAAAGGAACTTGAAGTTAACATCATATTAGACAAGATTTCAGAAAACACAACATTCAGATGAGACATGTTTCACTGTAATTGTGATTAAAGATATTGTATCTTGATAATGCCAATTCCGAGTTTAATTTTTTGGAGGGAGGAGATTGCTTTGTAATATACATTTAATTTTAGGTATTATTTTGTATTTATTAATCCTAACAGAAGATATTTTATAGATAATTTTGTTTGAAAAAGCTTTAGTGTTATGTACTCTGCTTCATAACTCTATTTTGTGTCAAAGAAAAGCATTAAAACAAAGATGATTATAGCTGTCATTTTTATGTAAATAATATTGTACTTTGTTATTGTTTTGGCATCTATCCAATATCAGTATACCTTGTTAAATGTGCTGCCATGCAAAGAAAATTGACTTCAAGATTTTTAATTGTCATTGTAAGAATAATGAAATTTATACGCAACATTTTGTTGTTATTTGTCTGTTTTGGTAAATTTAAATTCCAGTCCTTTTTTATGAAGGAGGGATTCTTCTCATATTTCTTGTTTTTTAAAATCAGTGAATTTTTCATAGATTAAAGAATACTTTAAAAACTACGTTGATATTAATTTATTGAATTTGATCGTTGTATTTTAGCAGCAAGGTCAGGACAAGGTCATTATACGACTTTACTTGGCATTTAAAATAAAAAAAATAACTGTTGCCAAACATTTGATGCCTTCCTCGATTTCAAAGAATACATGCTTTTCTTTTTGCTTAAAAAGATGTTACCATATAGGGTCTATGAAATCGTTAGTATAATTGACGTAAAATAATTAAACAAATTTAAGATAATGCCTAATCCGATTTTCCTCTTATTTATTGATTTTAATAAAGTTTTGACCCTCTTTTATGAGAGAAAAAAACCTTTTTACTGATTTTTTGCAAAAATCTGGACTTAGATTGGTAATTATTGATCTTAAATGCAAGTAAAAATGAAAAATAAATGTGACTGTTTCAATTTTTAACTAAATTCATTGTTCTGTCGTTAAATTTGGAAATCAGAAAATAGATACATATATATTTTTTATATGCCGCGATTCTTCCAAATATATAGTCCGTGGTAGATTTATAACTCACTTTAATATGTAAATTTTTTGTACAGTTATGATAAGGATTAAAAAATATGAATTTGAAATCCCTTACATTTTTATACCCCCTGCTTGAAAAGCGGGAGGGTAAAGTAATCGGTATGTCCGTCCGTCTGTCTGTTACGCTTTGGTGTACCCATCTCTTATCCGCAACTCCTCTCATACCACAGAATGAAATTTGATGAAACTTTCACAGAATCTTTATTACATATTGCCATTGTGACCTCCTATTTTACTTTTTGATCTGACACATTTTGGGTTTCCCACAACAAAACATGGACACTCCCATTATATTCATAAGGGAAGCGGGGGTATCATTAAGTGAGCTCATTGCTGAACAGTACCTCTAGTAAATATATTTTCTGACGTCGACTCGATACTGCATTCCAAGAGTCTGACACGTCTGTTTCATATTAGGTTAATTTACGTTGAAAAATGTAAATAGTAAATTTAGCAACAAAGACAAACGTTGATGACTTCTTTTTTTAATCATCAACTCCCCTATTAAACTTGACTAGCAGTATGTATGGATTTATATCCCAGATTATTCGGCAGACAAAAGCATTTTCAAAGTACGAACAATTTATATAACGAGACACCCTACTGAAAAACGTTGATGAATCCAGGAAAGCAATACCCTCATTTAAAGTCATTATTTAGCAAGGTCTTGGTCGATGCAATAATCTTGTTAGCAAGTGAGTATTGGTTAAAATGGATATAATCGTCGATATACTGTATCTGAATGTCGAGTTAAAAGTCACAAAAGTGTTTTCTTTATCTGTAGATTTTTAAAAAAATTCTGATTTATCTTTACTTTTATATATGATTATGACCACTCATATATCTCTGCAGATGGACCGTCTTTCCCCGATGTGTATATCTCATAGACAAAGAAAGATCAAGAATTCCAGTATGAAAAGGGTCTATTAGGAGTATAAAACCAGAAAAAATGGTTGGTATAGCATGCTCTACATATGATCAAATTCTAAAACGAGGTAATCTATTGACAATAATGTTGATGTCTCGTTTAAAGTCATCATTTGTTAAGTTCTATGGTCGATACAATGACCTTATCAGCAGATACAACCTGCTGCATCATTAAGTCAATTGCTGACTTAGTTTTTCATAATTGTGGTTATGCCATAATTTACACACTGTATTGTCGATGGATTTTCCCGTTATTTCTTGATCATGACAGTGAGCACACGATGGGTATGATCGTTCTGCAGGGGATCCTCACTCTTCCGTGGCACCTCATCCCGCCTCCGGTGTTTCAGAGGTTCCTGTCTGCACTGCTCTTAAATTGTACATATTGTTTCAATGTAATTTTGAGCATGAATATTGTTCGTTCCCTAACAAAAGATACTTTAGTTAAGTACAGTATAGTAAAGTTTTTAATTTAGTAAATTGTAAATCAAAGTTTCGAAGTTTTCACTATTGTAAATCAAAGTTCCATTTTTTTTTTACAATAATCAAAGATCCAAAGTTTTCAATATTATAATAAATCAAAGATCCAAAGTTTTCACTACAGTTAATCAAAGTTTTATAGTTTTAACTATATAAAGTAAATCAAAATTACAAAGTGTTCACTATAGTAAATCCAATTTCCGAAGTTTTGAATATAGTAAATCATAATTACAAATTGTTCACTATAGTAAATCAATTAAGTTTAAAAGTATTTACTATAGCCAGTCAAAATTCCAAAGTTGTTACCATATATAAATATAGTTTATCAAAGTGTCAAAGTTCTCACTATATACATTTGTACTACATTAAAAAAAAAATTTCATAATAGTTTAAGAACTTATTTAGGTATTTAGACTATATTTTATGCTTATTTTACGTTTTAAGGGGGTTGATGGTGTTGCGCAGTAAAATTAAATATTTAGATCCGTTGAAATATTTAAATTTTTAACTTTATTACAATATTATTTTTACTAAAGCCGGCATTTTAGTTTTATAGTAAAATTATAATTCTTAATTTTTCTTCTGAAAAAAAAGACTTTATCTGTAGTAACTTTAATACATTAAAAATATCTCTTATTCATCGATACAAGAGACAACCTATCATCAAGATTCAATTCGTGCACATTATTATTTTAGGGGAAGGGTCCGGTTTATAAAAAAGTTCTCTGAAGCTTTTATGAATTTTCACCACAAATAATTTTTAATATAGAAAATAAAAGTTTTAAAGTTCTTACTATAGTAAATGAAATTTGAAAGTTTTTTTTTTTTACTTTAGTAAATCAAAGTTCATTTTTTTTTACTTTAGTAAATCAAAGTTCCAAAGTTTTTCTTTGATACTATAGATAGCAAGAGTAAACTGTTGTTAAGTATTGTTTACTACAGTATTTTTTTTTTGGGGGGGGGGGGGGGCGGAGGGGGGTTAAGGGTTATCTCCATATATTTCATTGATGCCTCTCGGATTGTCCTTATGAACATAAAGAATTTGACCAACCAACTAACATAAGGTCTGTGATGGCCCTTTATTGTGTTTAATAACCATCATCTTTACTACGTATACTATACAGTAATTTGATACGCGGTCAGTCAATAAACCGCAATATTTTTCTCAAGGTAATGGAAGTAGCTAATGCTTAATTTTGCTCGATGCAACTTTTCAACTATTTGTGGGGTTGTTTAAAGACTAAAGCAAAAGTCTCAGCTCCCCCGTGACTATGGGCCCTCATAGTCATATGTCATTTAGCCACTAAAAGAAAAAAAGAATCAGAACAAAATTTATGTTATAATTAAGAGCAATTAAAAACGTTGAATTTAACGCATTCATTAGATGAAATAGATAATTAAGTCAATATGCGGAGTCATGCGACAGAACCACACGGTGGTAGACCCGAGACAGTATCACTTGTATCAATCTCTGTATTATTCATTCATCAGCTGATCGCCTCACTAACTCCAGAATTTACGGAATTGACACCCCATGCCTTTTAATCAAAATATTATGAAGAGCAGAATTTGCAGGAGATCTTTGCTGTTAAAATAAAGGTTACATAGTCGGTACCGGACTATGATTAAAGCCCGAGTGTTGAGCTTTGAAGTGTCAAGGCGATTTTCCCATGATGTTAACCCTGGGCCTCCTCCTGCATGATTCAATCATGTTTTCGTGTAATACGAGTAGACATTGAGTGAACTTTGAAAATTGATCTCAAGAGACTTTTTAACAAGTGGTAGAAGTAAAGGACTATTCTGCATTTATAAACTCGATTAAATGAGAATACATCAAATGCGTACAACAACAAAGCAATGAATATGATGCAAACATTTTTAGTTTAATATTGTTGATATGTTTCTTTTTTTTTACTTTTAACAAATATGAAGACTATAAAATTACCATTTCCTCTTCTTAATGGATCACATAGTACACTGAAGGAAATGGAGACAACGAACAGTATTCAATATCAAAGTCCAAAAAACAATACAAAATAGGAGCAGAGCAAACACGGACCTCTAAAACATCAGAGGTGGGATCAGGTGCCATGGAGGATTGAACATCTCCTGCTGACCAGTCACACCCGCAGTGTACTCTTGTCATGATCGGGGAATAACGGAAATATTTATCGTCAATTCAGTGTATAAATAATGAACTAACAATTAGTATGAAAAACGTCAGTCAGCATTTGACTCAATTATAAATTGTATTTGCTGACAAGGTCATTGTATCGACCATAAAAACTTACGAAATGATTACTTTAAACGAGGCTGCTGATATTCTTGTTTCATCAACTTGTTTGACAATAATTGACCTCGTTTTAGAAATTGTTCATACGTAGAGCATACTTTTGCGTATCGAATCAACTGAGATATATAAACGCATATGCAGATGACGAAGGTATATTGCTGCATAAGTAAGGGAAGTTAACGATAGAAAAATTAAAGTCATCACGTTTATCATAGAGCTTGGTTGTTAGATTACCATTAATCTTTTTCAAGTAAAATATCCAAGTATGAACCAGATGTGTCAGACTCTATGGTATCTTTTATCTTAAGCTCACCAGGATATATCGTATCGACATGAGAATGGAAATTACCATTGTTAATTGACAATGCGTCGTCGATGTATCTAAAGGTTGAGTTGAAGGCACAGCAAGTGTTTTTTTCTTTTTACGCATACGATTTTGCACAAATTCTGCTTCATATGAATACAAAAATAGTTCTGCTAATAACGGAGCGCAATTGGTACCCATGGGAATATCAAACAGATTGTTGAAATACCTGGCCCTGGTCTCCAAACATGACAAAGATATTGTCAATCAGAAACTCAAGAACTTTTTGATGTCAACTTCAGAGTACTTGTGTGTGCAATCAAAATTTGTT